TTCAAGAACTTGGTAGAGATGAAATTGGTTGATAGCTAATGAGGAGCGAAGGTCGGACTCGGAGTAGATTTTTTTTCATGTTTTAATGATGAAAGTTAGTGGAGAATCTATTCTCATAGGATTCATAGAATAATGAGAATCAGTTGAGGCAGAAGAAGGGTAGGAAAATGAGCTGGAAGAGGAACAGAAGGTGAGGCAGAAAGAATGGACATAGCTGTCAATGGGTTGGTTGAATTGATGGTTGAACCTAAAATTAATCATAACTGAGGACGACAGAGGGCTGGACAACATTTTGTTGTACATAGCATTACTATGACTCAGAACCAGCTCGATGGTACCAAACACAACACACACAATTAATCAAGCAAAATACTAGTGGAAGGAACCTGAGAGAAGGCCATGTTGGAAGTTTCAAGAAAAGGTAATGAATATTAGTTTCACAGATTGTGGAAATAAGCCTGTATTAGGTAATATAATAGGACTGTGAACAGAATGTGTCCCAAAATTACTTTATCCCTTACAAAGATGCTACGATTAAATCTTAAGGTCATTTTTTGTTATTGGTGGTGGTGCTTGTTTTTGTTGTTGTAGTGTTTTGTTTTGAATGGCCTAGAAAAATAAAAAGTACATAGGAACACATTCTATAGTAGAAAATTAGGTTTAATAATTGCTTATCACCTTATTGTTCACAGATAATCATTATGATACTTATCCTTTCGTAGTTTACACATTCAAATATACCTTTGGGGATAAATTTAAAAGTCTCACTTTCATAACAAAGACAGTTCACAACAATTTTTACTTCACCACATATTTTAGTTTTGAAAGAAACAGAGTTACTGGATTGTAAACATTGTCATATTTCATGTGTTTCCTTTATTTATTTATATTGTAATATTTGTGTTTATGATACATAACCATAATGGGAAACTATATAGTTATACCATGAAAGGAACTTCTTTCATGATTCAAAATTCAACTATTTTCTGCTAGTTGTTAAAATATAAATGTGAAACTATAAGTTATTGCTCAACCAGATTTTATTTGGTAAAATGTGATGAAGAAATCTAATATGTATATGAATTTTTACTATCGACTCACTGCCATTGAGTCAATGCTGGTTCTTGGCAACCCCCTGTGGGTTTCTGAGACTGTAACTGTTTATAGGAGTAGAAAGCTCAGTCTTCCCCAAGAAGTGGCTTGTGGATCTCAGTCCAATGTGTAACCATTACACCACCATTTTCACTACAGCTTTAATCATTCTTAAATTTCATTTCCCGCAATAAATTTGGAGCACATTCTTATTAATAGATCTCACAAATGATTATTTTAAATGTTCTCTTTTACGGTTAGTAAACTAATTGTATACTATGCTTTAAACAAGCTAATTTTTTAAAAGATCATTTTATTGCAGGTTCTTACAGCTCTTATAACAATCCATACATCAATTGTATCAAGGCTATTTGTACATATGCTGTCATCATTTTTCTTTAAACGTTTACTTTCTACTTGAGTCCTTGGAATCAGCTCCTCTTTTTTCCCTTCCTCTCCCCTCCCGCCCTCAAGACCCCTTGATAAATTGTAAATTATTATTATTTTCATATCTTATATCAACCACCGTCTTCCTTCCCCCATGGTTTCTGTTGTTCCTCCCCCTAAGGTGGGGGTGGTGAAGGGGGAGTGTGGTTATGTGTCAATCATTGTGATTGGTTCTCCCTTCCCCCTACCCTCCTGGTATCACTACTCCCATTTCTGTTCCTGAGGGGTTTATCTGATCTGGACTCCATGTGTCATGAGCTCTTATCTGCACCAGTTACATACTTTGATCTAGCCTGCAATGAAAGGCAGAACTGGAATCATGATAGTGAGGGGTGAGGAAGCCTCAAGGAACCAGAA